TTCCCTTCCATAATCCACTGAATAAACATCCAACCTCAGTCTACATAGTGTGTCTATCCACGTCTCTGTCTCTCACTTGCCGCTGCCTGTCTCCCTGCCTGGGACCAGCCACCTTGGGAGACCTGCAGCGGCGTGGTTTCATGCATGACCCCTGCCTGGGACTGCCTACTCTGGGTCCCGCTGCTTGCCCCAGCTCGGGTCATGGCCCACTGCCCTCTGCAGCCACTAGGGATCTGCAGCATTTTTAATTAATCCATTTCACCAGTTTCAGGGAGAAATCCTGCCTCAAAGGAATAGGGGAGAGAGATAGAGAAGGACTCCCTGCTTCTTCTGGTTTCCATGTGGTACACATGTGTGCAGCAACCCCCGCCCCCCCCCACATTCTTTCTCTCTCTCCTCTTTAGAAGAGGAGAGTGCTCATAAAGGTGAAAACTTTTAGGACTCATGAAAGCAACAGAATGACCCTGAGGAATGACCCAAACAGCAAAACCAGCAGAGCACTGCGCTGCTGGGAGCATTACATGACTGGGAGCATTACACTGCTGGGAGCACTACACTGCTGGGAGCACTACACTGCTGAGAGCACTACACTGATGGGAGCACTACACTGATGGGAGCACTACACTGCTGGGAGCACTACACTGCTGGAAGCATTACATTGATGGAGAAGCATTACACTGATGGGAACATTACACTGATGGGAACACTGCACTGATGGGAGCACTGCACTGCACTGCTGAGAGCACTACTCTGATGGGAGCACTACACTGCTGAGAGCACTACGCTGATGGGAGCATTACATGGCTGGGAGCACTACACTGTTGGGAGCACTCACAGCTGGGAGCACTACACTGATGGGAGCATTACATGGCTGGGAGCACTACACTGTTGGGAGCACTCACAGCTGGGAGCACTACACTGTTGGGGAGCATTGCACTGCTAGGGGGCACTGCACAGCTGGGGAGCACCTCCACACTCAAGTCACTGTGTAGAGAACCACAAAGCCTGCTGGGACAAAGCAACCTTCCCTGGGTAACTAGGGCTTCAGGAATATTTCTTAGACAAGCCTCTCAGCTGATAAAAATAATTCCAATCAGACCAAATTAAACCCAAACTAAAAGACACCCACATTTAATGCAGTGCTCTCGGGTGGTACTGGAAAGCATGGCGAGGGAAAGAGAGAGAAGGGGAGACCTTGTGAAACCCAGAGACCACGTGTTCATTCTCTGGGAGTGGTTCCGACCTTCCCTAGGGAGGGGTTATCGCTTGGCTGGCTTTCTCGGAGAGATAGAGTTTGGACTAAGGCAACTCCCAGGGGAGGGGGCTTGAAATGGAGTTTCTTGGCCAGTATTCCAAAGATGGATGCCAGAGGGCTGGCGTGAGGCCCCACTATAATATCCCAGACTCTTGGTATAAAGGGGTGTTAGGGAGCTGGGGTGATGCTTTTGACCAAACATTCCCCATCTCCCCAGTCACCAAGAAAGGGCACATTGATCTTAGCGTACCCTCTTTCTTTATTTCTCCAACAAAAATATGGGGAACAAAGCAGACTCTCATTCTTGGCTCAAATAGCACAAAGACTGGCATGAGCTCATCCCCTGTCTTCGAGTAAGGAAAACTCAGTGATTTCCCCTCCTTATCGTTAAGGAGCAAACCAGACACGTGAGGTGAGAACAACCACAGGTCCCACTGTGTCTTCCCCAGGAGTCCTTCTTCCTTCCTCAGCCACTCCCAAACTCCAAGCAGATGACACGCTCCCCGCCACATGCCACACGCTGCTTCTGAGAAAGTAGCTCTGCCCTAAGGTGTGGGTGTCTGGCTGGGGCTGCTTCCTGCCAGTCACAGGGCCAGGCTGCCTGTCTGGAAGCTCATGAGCCACTAACAGTGACGGTGACCTGCCCTGTGACTCAGAGTGGTGACAGATGAGGGTTTACTTATTCCAGACGCAACATTAATTCAGGAGCTTTTAAACAAGTCTTCAGGGCAGCCCGAGTCAAACCACGGTGAGACACTGAAGAGCTAGTGGTGATGAAATCCAGGGCTGAGAAACTCCTAGAAAAAAAAATCATAACCTGGGGGCTGGGATGCTGCTCACCTGGGAGAACCTTGCCTAGCATGCCAGAAGTCCTCTGCTCAGTTCCCAGCACTCAGCAGATAGAGTCAGAAAGACATCCTGGCCTGTACACAGTCCATTCTGGGCTGGAGACTCAGTCTCAAGGAAATAAAAAGGAATTTATAGCCCAGGCTGGGAGATAGTCTCTGAGCTAACCCACGATGCCGCTCTGTCCTGGCTTCCTTCTGTCTGTCCATGCTCCCTGCTGTCCACCTGACATCCTTTACAAAGGGGGATTGGCAGATGCGTGCCTGCCTGGAATATTAGAAGCTGGAGGTGGGGAGGATGACTTAGGGTCCAGGGCTCAGAACTCCTGAAACTTACAGCCTGACCCATGAGAAAGAGGTAGGATGTGGAAGAAGCCGGCCTGTTTGAACAAGGCTGTTTGGAGTTCTCAGTAGTGGGGAGGTTGTTGTAAGTGTGGGGGACCAAGTGCGCCACAAATCTCTGCCTTCTGGCCAGGGTTGGAGTGAGCTGGAAACTGCTCTGAGAAATACATTCTACTTAAAGTTGGCTTGCCACAGGGTGGGGGGCAGGATTTGCACACCTTTAGTCCCAGTACTTGGGAGGCAGAGGCAGGTGGATCTCTGAGTTGGAGGCTAACCTGGTCTTCAGAACAAGTTTCAGGACAGCCAGGATTACACAGAGAAGCCCTGTCTCAAAAAAAAAAAATCAAACCCACAACAACAAACAATAATAACAAACAAAATAAAAGATGACTGGGTCACCTGCTATCAGGCCTGCCAACCACAAAATACATCGCCTCTGAGGTAGGGGGATGGCTCAGTAGTTAAGAGCACTGGCTGATCTTCCAGAGGTCCTGGGTTAGACTCCCAGCACGCACATGGTAGCTCACAACCATCAGTGACCCCAGTTCCGCATCTGTGAGATAAAGTAACTCTGTCTGTGGTTTTGTTCAGAAACAAGTTCTCAAGTTCTCACTGAACAGCTTAGGCTGACCTCAAATGTCCCATCCTCCTGCCTCCGCCTCCCTGGTGCAGGGATGACAGACATCAGCCACTAAGTACACCAGGCAGACTGTCTTGTGGAATGCTGTGTGGGTCTATTCCTAAGTGAGAAGGTTCCCCGATTGCCCCAGCAGAACTCAGGCCAACTCCTTCCTTTGTTTTGATCTGTAACATTGACCACCATCTCCATATCGTCTCTCCCACCAGGACCAGGATTTTTGTGTTTTGTCATATACCCTCAGCACCAGGAACATTTTCTGGTGTGTAAAATGTCTTTGGGAGATATTTATTAGGATAATTCCAATAAAGTCTAGTACCGGCCATATACCTAACACAGGCTCACTTTTTTTTGTTTGTTTTGTTTTATGTTTTTGAGTCGGGGTTCCTGGAACTCACTCCCTAGACCGGGCTGGCCTTGAACTCCTGAGCTCTCTTGTGTTGTGCCTGCCTCTGTCTCTGGTGTTCTGGGACTATCAGTGTTTGCCTCCACCCAGCTAAACTCAGTCTTGTTTGTAGCTCTTTGTCTCTGAGCTCACAGCTTTCCCTGGAAGAGGCTGGGGACCGCAGATCTGAACAGGTTTCCGAATAGCACAGTTTATTTAAGACTGAATGTACTGGCTGGTGCGGAAGTGTGAACGGCTCCACACCAGGTCCTGAATAACTCAGGGTGCTGCTTGCAATGCAGTAGCTCATTGTGCCCTCGCTGGAGAGGCTTCAAAGAAACGGGCATTTGCCCCCTAGCTAATGGGCTCCGCTTCTGGTTTGATTCCCTGGTGGGATCTGGTAGCCGTAGTTACACACCCTCCAGGGCTCTGAGCATGAACGTTACACGCTTTCTGTGTTTTACTTTATGCTTAGAAGGAAACAGGAAGCCTGTCCACCACCATTCCTGACCAGTAACAACCAACACTGACAGTTATGAGTAGCAAACAGAGGCGTAGCATGACAGGACAGAGGCTGCGGCAGGGCAGAGGCTGCACCAGGAGAGAGGCTGAGGCAGGAGAGAGGCTGCAGAAGGACAGAGGCTGAGGCAGGGCAGAGGCTGCACCAGGAGAGAGGCTGAGGCAGGACAGAGGCTGCAGCAGGACAGAGGCTGCACCAGGACAGAGGCTGCGGCAGGGCAGAGGTCTGAGAGAGCACCGAAGCTAAAAGCCTCTAACAGGGGGCTCCTGGTGAAGATGGGCGGAGGAAGAGAAGCTGAGAGGACACTGAACTCTCAGCATTTGGCAAGCGTGCTCCTACTGCAGGAGCGCACAGCCTGTGCACGGCAGTAGCAGCAGTTTGGGGTCTTGCTGGAAGCTGATTCTTTCAGGCTATGCATCAGTCTGGTGTTGAAATAGGAGCGGCAGGGCTGCATCCCCAACACCCCGGCCGCTTGGCTAGCTTATGCCCGAAATAACAACACACAAACTGTATTCATTTAACTGCTTGACCCATTTCTATCTAGCCTTTTCTAGGCTAACTCTCGCACCTGGACTAGCCCATTTCTAGTAATGTGTGTAAGCACCCCAAGGTGCGCTTACCGGGAAGATTCTAGCCTAAGTCCATCGTGGGTTGCAGCTGCCTGGGAGAGCAGAGCATGGCGGCTGTCCGGTCCCTCTGGAAGCAGCGCAGAGTCTGACCTCACTTCCTCTTCCGCCCAGCATCCTATTCTGTTTATTCCGCCCACCTATCTTTTAACCTATCAGGGCCAGCAGTTTCTTTATTGCTCAGCCAATGAAATCAACAGATTGATATGACACTCCCACATCAGTCTGGCTTACACACATGTGCACACACACACACATTCATGCACATGCACACATGCATGCACACACACACTTCCTTGATGTCAAATTCAATGCTCTTTTTTATTTAGACAGAGTCTCAAAAATAAAAACAAGGGGGAGGACAGCATAGCTTCCTCCCACTCCTCACACTCACAGGGAGAAAAACCACAACTAGTCCCCTGCACACCTCTGTGTCACCACCCTGCCCTACAACTGCATTGTCAAAAACTGGACAGACACAGATACATCTGCAAAATCCCAGAATGTCGCATTGAGCTTGTTGGGAATGTTCGATGGTCTGGGCCAGCTTCACCAGTGTCCACCTCTATGGAGGACAGGGAGCATTTGATTCATGCTCTACCATTTGGCAGTATTATGTGGGGAGCTAACACGAGAGAGAAGAGAGGGATTCAGTGGGCTTTTCCTGTGTTCTAAGGTGTTGATCCGGGCACGCCAGCTGACAAAGTATGAGCGATAGGCGGCCATGATCACTGGAGAGTCTTCAAATGGAGAAGCCGAACACTGGATAAGTGAAACACCACATCTGGTGTCTTCTGCTCTTAAACACAATAGATGCCAAGAAACGATTGCTCTAAACGTATCCCACAGCTGCCCAGCACGGCTGCTGCCTCTGCAGGATCCCGGATCTGCAGCTACCACGGCATGCTCCTGCCAGGAAAGGCTGTTAAAAGAAAATAAATTCACGGTCACTTACTTCCACATTATAAAAACACTTTGCCAGATGCCAACTTCATTTTTCGGATGTTCTCTTACCCAATAACCTAAGCCTGGTGCGCTGGGCAGAGTCCAGCTCGGGGAATCCCATCCTCGCCGCCAGAGTCTTGCAAGGAGTTGACTGTGCACGCCGCATTATTCCTCATTTCTTCATCCAGCTAGTGCGATTCATCCCCAAAGTATGGGACGGTTAGTAGGGTGGAATTTCAGAAGAGGGCTATGCTGAAGAAATGAGCGAGGGGAGGGTTCTGTCCATGCATTAGGAGCCTGAGGTTTCAATGGCTGTAAGATGCCCAGCATGGGTGCTGGGAACCAGACTTGAATCTCCTGCAAAAGCAGCAAATGTTCTTTGCTTGTTTTTGTTTTTTCGAGACAGGGTTTCCCTGTGTAACAGCCTTGGTTGTCCTGGAACTCACTTTGTAGACCAGGCTGATCTCATACTCACAGAGATCTGCCCACGTATGCCTCCTGAGTGCTGGGATTAAAGGCGTGTGCCATCATTGCCCGGCTTGACTACGGCTCTTAAATTGCCCAAAGTTGTGCTTAAAGAGCCAAAATGCAAATGAGAGAGCCACATCTTCGGGAGGAGTCAAAGTTCCCGCCACACAAGTGTGAAGACTCCGAGTGCCCACTTAAACGCCGGGTGTGGCACTGCGTGTGTAATGAACTCACACTTTGTCGGCTTTCCCAAGGAATCGAACCTCAATTCTTGCAGAGTCCTCTGCAGTCCCTCCTAACTGAGCACACGGGGCACTCTGGTCCAAATCTGTATGGCCCCCATCTTTGCTGTTCAGGACTTTTAATTCATTTCACTGAGGAAAGCAATAATTCCTTGAGAGTGAGGGCCCTGCGTCTGTCATGTTTCCCGCTGAAAACCACAAGCACTGCAAAGACATTGCTCACAGCATTTGGAGAACATGGACAGGGTTTTAGCATTTGCTCAGAAATCTGTGCCCAAATAAGTGGGCTGTTGTCTCCAATATTTCTTTTATATTCACCTCCTCACTCCTCCTAGATCTACTCCTCATGTCGTGGCACGCACCCCCAACTCCAGCTTAGCGTCCTCTTTGGGACACCCTCCTCCTTGCAGGGCTCCCCTGAGACAGCCTTCAGAGATGCCGCATCGCGTCTGCAGCATTTTTGCTGTTGCTGTTTTCTGGGTTAAAATTGTGCTAAGGCAGAGAACTGCAGATCAGTCCAGCAGGTCACGGCCCAGTCCATGCCTGCCAAGCTGCCTGGTGCAGTCAATAAAGTTTTATTGGAACACAGCCATGACTATTCCTTCTCCAAGTGTCAAGGGCGGCTTCTCACTGTAACCCTGAGTAGTTTCAGCTGAGACTGTCCGAGCCAAGAAACCTAAGACAGGACTTCTACAAGGGGAAAAAAATCAGAAGTCTGGTTTGGATGTTGGAATTCTTTTAAGACAGTTTATGGTTTCTTCAGCCAAGTTTGGCTCCATTCTCTGTTTGCTCATCCTTTGATCTATTAGAATTTATAATTGCTGTAGCCATTTATCAAGAACAAACAGGACAGGTGTTGTTATAGCATTCTGCTAAGAGGTTCTTCTGCCCCAGTGCTTCTCCATCTGCCCTAGTGCTTCTCCATCTGCCCCAGTGCTTCTCCATCTGCCCAGTGCTTCTCCATCTGCCCCAGCGCATATCCATCTGCCCAGTGATTCTCCATCTGCCCAATGCTTATCCATCTGCTCTGCCTCATTCTTGCTCTGCCTATTTTTGTTTCTGTTTTAAGACAGTCTCTGATCTCAATTGAATTCATGGATGGTCTTGAAATCCAAATTCTCCGGTCATAACTCCAGAGTTGGGTTCCATCTGCTCTGTGGATGCTGGGGTCAAAGATGCGCACCAACGCGGATGGAACCCAGGGCTCTGTGACACTGAGTGAGAACTCTACCTAGCTGAGCTTCCTGCATTCTAACAAAGTCCAGAATTCTTAGTTACCCTTGGAATTCGGGGGGGGGGGGGGAGACATTTCATGCTTAGCTTCTTTTCGCAGGCTCTCTTCCCTCTCGATTGCTTTCCCACTCCAGTCCCTACAACACTCCCAGATGCATGCGTCCTTTTCTTGAGGCTCACTCCCACGAGTACCGTGTGAGTTTTATTTTTGAACATCACCAGCCTCTTGTTACAAGATTTTCAGATGATAACTTTGAGTTTCTCTTTTTCACTTCCTCGGATTTTTAAGGTACTATCTGTGCTTGCTGGTCTAATATCAACTTGATAAACTAGAGTTAACTGAGAGGAGAGAACCTTACTTGAGAAGATGCCTTCCATAAGTTCCAGCTGTAGGCAGGCCTGTAAGGAATGTTCTTAATTAGTGATTGACAGGGGAGGGGCTAGCCCATGGTGGGTCGGCCTATTCCTGAACTAGTGGGCCTGGGTTCTATAAGGAAGCAGGCTGAGCAAGCCATGGGAGCCAGCCAGAAAGCAGCACCTCCCCATGGCTTCTGCATCAAATCCTGCCTTCAGGTTCCTGTTTTGTTTGCGTTCCTGTCCTGACTTCCTCCAATGATGGACAGTGATGTGGAAGTGTGAGCCAAGTTCACCCTTACCTCACCTAGTTGCTTTTTGGTCATGGTGTTTTGTCGAAACAATAGAAACCCCCACTAAGACACTATCGTATGACTGTTGAAGGCTCAGAAGAAACCAGACACCCTTTCTCATAGTGCTATGCTTTCGGGGTGTCGAGCATCCATTTATCCTCCCCTCCAACCAGTTCTGCTAGGTTAGCATCAAGGGGTGAACTGTGCACCCCTCCGTGCTTCAGCCCCTCACATTTCAGAATGTGACTGTATCGGAGACAGAGTCCTTGTACGAGTAGCCGAGCTAGAGGTCATAAAAGTGAGGACAGGGAGCTGGAGCACAGAGACAGAGCACCAACCACCAACCAGGCTCAGGGATGAGGTTGAAGGGGCAGGAAAGAAAAACAGGGAAGCCCTCTGGGGAGATTCTTAATCACCTGAGACAAGCCCCCCACCCCCACCCCTCTGGCAAATGACCAGACCTTGGCAGCAGCTCAGCCGAGGTGCACTGAGGAAGCTTTCCTCACACAACCCGTCACCCTCCTCCCAACTCCACCAATCTCATGTCAAAACCAGCAATGTATCCGGTACTCGCCATTGCCAAGCACATTGCCAATGTTAACAACCCTAACTCATTTTAATCATCACGCTGATCCAGACATCTTTTCTTAGCTCCTCGGAACCATGGACAGGATCTTCCAGCCAGACTTTTGAGCGAGCCTCAACTGGTCTTCACCTGAACTTGACCCTCGGCAGTTGTGTCTCCAAGTACGTTAACAGGAAAAAATAATGATTAGTTAATTTGATCCCAGTGTATTGACATGGGAACCTTCAAACTGAGACCCAAAGAGTCAAAGGGAATCATCCATTTTCATAAGTAGGTGAAGCGTGGGCCGACATGTAGAGTCCTGACTGGGTAACAAAAGAATAATATTGACATACTGTAACAGACGGACTGAGACCTGAGGGTGAGAACCTGGCTGACCTTGCCAGCCTTCCCATCCCAGCCATCTAGGATGGTTCTCATAGAGACCCAGGAGAAACTGAGAAACCTCTTGAAATCTCAGTTTGAAGGTGAGTGTGATCGTGCCTGCTGTGGAGAGTCTTCCCAGCACTAGGGTGTTGGATGCAGGAGGATCAGAGGTTCAAGATCATCCTCAGCTGCTGAGTGAGTTTGAGGCCAACCTGGTTAGAAGAGAAGAAACTTTGTTAAACCAAAGAAGAAGAAGAGGAGGAGGAGGAGGAGGAGGAGGAGGAGGAGGAGGAGGAGGAGGAGGAGGAGGAGNGGAGGAGAAGGAGAAGGAGAAGGAGAAGAAGAAGAAGAAGAAGAAGAAGAAGAAGAAGAAGAAGAAGAAGAAGAAGAAGAAGAAGAAGAGGAGGAGGAGGAGGAAGAAGAGGAAGAAGAAGAAGAAAGACAGACAATGAAAAGGAAAAAGAGAGGAGAGAAGGAGGAGCAAAAGAAAAAATAAATTTGGATTGAATTTGACGCTATCAACTGAAGAATTTATGAGAGTGGACATGTGATTAGTATGAAAGACTCTGCCCAGTCCAGGCATTTATTCTTTGCAGCTTTGGGAATTGAAACCCAGGACCTCAGGAATCCAGTCCAGCACTCTACCACACAGCTGCATTCCTAAGCCAGAAAATAGACTTTTGAACCTTTGTATTAAAGGACTATTAATCAGCCCGCCTTGGCAGCTGATTTAATGCTGATTTAATTTAAAATGAGTATTAAAGATGAAAGGCAATAATTCGCTTGCTAAATAAAAAAGGAGCTGTGATTCTGAGGATAGAATAGAATCTGCGTCTGAAAGCAAATTCCCCGCTGATCAAACACGGCCAGACACCTCCGCAAGCCACAGGTTCCTGTGGAAACGATTAAGGGCACAGGAGACAAGGAACACTCACAGGTCTGTGACGGACAGCCGTGGCAGCCCGGCACTACCAAATACAGAAGCCGGAAGGGATTCACAGGAAGTGCTCTGTAGCTTGAGCTACAGACAGGAAGTTCCCACCCCCACAGCAGCCCCACCTCCCCTGTGAGCCTGAAGGAGCTCAACAGCCAAGCCCAGGTGGCAGCAGCTAGAAGGGGCGTTTGTTGTTGCAACACAGGAAGTATTGACAGCTGCTGCTCAGAAGGGTTTTGGGTTGTTTCAATCTGGAAGTTTCAGACTTCGTCTCAAAAAAGCCAAAGACTTGAAAACCCCTCTCATGCCTGCAGCCCTAAGAACAGGGTCCATGCAAATCTCCACAGGGAGATGTCATTCCTGAGTGGCAGCTGGGTACCAGTGTCTGCAGAGAGAAGTCCTAACAGACACAAGCCACATGATGGCCAAGAGTTTGTAACTCTGTAATTCGTCTGTGAAGCCTTGGGACAAGGACTGGAGCCATGGAGCTGGGACACCCAGGCACCCTCTGTGCTTAGCAAACCAGAGTCCCTTGGGCCAGGGGTCGAGTTCAGATGGTAGAGCACGCCCTCACCACTGCAGAGATGGGCTGTAGCAACCTGCCTGTAATCCTAGCCCCACAGGTGCTGGAGGTGGAAACGAAGGGGTTAGACGGTCAGCATCCTCTTAAGTCACACACAGAGGCCAGTCTGGGGTGCATAGCGGGGCCCATCTCAAGCGCAGAGGGGAGGCAGTTGCAGGAAGGAAGCATGACTGATTTTTGCTTTGACTTTGGGAATGACTTCAGCGAAGAATAGACAAAGGACATTGTTAGTCCTGTGAGTGCAATCATCTCTATAGCCCTGGGCCCTACCGCAGGCTTCTGTGACCCCTAAGCTGTGCAGCAGTGGACTCTCCTAGTCTAAGAGGAGACTGCATTGCAGGCTGTCAGCTGCTAGGTTAACTCTGCAGTGCTTTCTTCCTGAGCTCTGGGTCCCAGCCCTCGGCCCCATGCCGTCCTCTCACCAAGGGTGAACTGTTGGTGGGGAGAGAACAGACCACAAACTACACTTTGCATTTACATGGGAGCATTCCAGTGTAGAGAGGAGGTGTGAATAGTAGTGAGGGGGTTCTGGGGGAGTCTTCTCTGGGCTGGGATGAAGTCATTTCCTGGGCCAGAGCTCACCGGGGATTTCCCAGTTTTCCTAATAGGGAGGCACCGGAAGCTAAAGAGTGGCAAACTTGAAACTCACTTTGTAGACACCATTCTGTCTCCATTATCAGAACACTCCAGGCCAAGCAATTTATAATAAACAGGGACTTACTGGTCCATGGTTCTGATGGTCCAGAAATCCAAACTAAAAGGCCCAGCACCAGGGAGAGGCATCTTGCTGCATGGCTGCATGGCTGCGTGGCTGCATGGCTGCATGGCAATGAAGCATCATGGGGCAGAAGGCCGAGAGGTGGGAAAATAAATCTCTATTGAAGGAACTACTACCAAATCGTGCCTGACAAAGGCCTTGTGTCCGGAATACAGAAAGAACTCCTAAAACAACATTTTAGGGGGGAAAAAGAGATCTATTTGTTCCCTCAGAATTTTGCATTGAAATCCCCAGCCTTTAAGCAGTGGTGTTACCAGAGTCAGCCTCATATGCCAGGGAGCTAAAGTCAGCAAAGACTAGGTGGGAGATGGACCCTAGAGAGCCCAGTGAGGATGTGTGTAGACCCACACACACACCAGGAAGTGAGCCCCCACCACATACCAAATCTCCTGGCATTGTTTCTTAGACTCCCAGCCTCTGCAACACTGAGAAACAGATGCCAGTCATTTAACAGCCCCATCCATGGCACCCCCTCATAGCAGCCAGATTAAGGCAGGAACCCAAGGCAAACCCCAGCACCATGCATTCCTCAATGCTCTGTGAACCCCTTGATGGGATCAAGAGGAAGGGTGGGGTACAATAAAAATTTCTGTGTCCCACCCAGAAATTATGACTCAGTATCCCTGGATGGGACCCGAGACAACTGCATGAGCTGAACATGGTGGCTGGGACCGATAATCCTGGCGCCTGAGAGGCTGAAACAGGAGGCAGACTGGGAGCTCACAGCGAATCTGGGCTACTCAGTGGGCTCAAGGTTTCCAGGCTGTATAAAGGACCCTAGGACAGAGAGGCGGGGGCGGGGGAGTCCAGCACTGGATCATGAGTGCCCTGAGTGGCAAAGGTAGGTGGAATGACCAGTAATCAACCTGACGTAACCGCGAACCCTCGGTTCTAAGGAACAACCTCTATCTTGTTTCCTAGGGTGTGCACTCAGTGGAATGCCTCCTGCTCACACAGCAATACCTAAGTCCTCGGGAACCTGCTCTTAGAGAGACAGTTTAAAAAGGAAAATGAAAACCTATTTTTAAGGATTTTTAAGGTTTTCATATTTATCTTTAAGAGAACGTGTGCTCAATGGGGTGTGCTCACTGTGACTTTTATGAGCCCATGGCGAGACATAGTCCCTTAGGGTGAGCCATAGATTTTGGCATCGAGGGAGCTTTCATTTCACAATTTAAGCACTGTCTGAATCAAGCAGACGTGAGTTGAGCCCTCAGAGCAGAGGCCCCTGGCAGCGTCAGTGGGGAAGAGCCTGCCTCAGAGTCAATAACATTGTTCTCTCCCAGTGGCTTCACAGCCAACACAGATAAATATGCACACAGGTTTCCTTCCTGCCAAACCCCAGATCATCCACACAGCTACTGCAGCATCTGGCTCCCAGCTTAAGCTAGACCCCAGCAGGCAACAAGCGACAGGCCAGACTGGGTTCATCTGAGCAGTGACTGATCAGAGCATCCAGACAGACAGAGAAGGAAAAGTGGCCTCCAGCCCATGAGATAAACAACAGTCAGCTCTCCAGTGTGAAAGGTTAGTCCAGGGAGTGAGGAGGGAAGGAGAAGGGGTGGAGACAGGTGACTGAGATGGCTCAACTGTTAAGAATATTTGCCGAGTTCCAGGACGCGGGCTACACAGAAAAACCCTGTCTGGAAACCCACCCTCCAGATGAAAAGAAAAGAATTATCTGCTATCTCAGGGGATCAGAGTTCCATTCCCAGCAGCCACATCAGGCAGCTGACGACAGCCACTCCAGGTCCAGGAGCTCTGGTAGCTTCTGGCCTCCACAACACCCGCATACACACACACACACACACACACACACACACACACACACACACACGTAACACACATACACATGTAACACAATACACATGTAACACACAAGTAACACACATACACATACCTAAAAAGAGACAAATCTTTTTAAGGAGAGAGAGATACTGGAGAACAGGAGACAAAAGCCACACCGTTGATCTTTAGGGAAATGACAAGCTCACTCCTGGACTTTTAGGGTGGACTTCCCTGGCCAAGGAGTTGTTGGAGAGTCTTCCCTGCCCACCACACAGCCTAGGTCCCAGAATGTTTGCGTCTTTAGCACGTCATTTTGGTCAAAAGTGATGAAGAGCTGACTGCTGGGGAAAACAGAGCCCGTCTTACTTCCTTTCACCTCTGCGTGACTTGTTTCTTCTTTAGGCTAAACCCAAACAACATACATTGACATCCCCTTGTCTCTGGATGGACTGGGAATACACAGACCACTGGAGAGCATGCTCACTTGTTCCACGCTCAGGAGACACCACACACACACACACACACACATCACACTTGTGAACACACACTATATGCACACCACGCACTCTGCCCGTTCCAGTCTAGCCCAGCTGCTCCACCACAGCAAACCTGGGAAATTCGGAAGGGAAGCATGGTTAACTACCAGACAAGTCGAACAGCCCACCGGACAGCCCACCTCGGAGTGGGCCCGGCCACACACTCTGTCACTCATCCCTGTATCTGAGACCTCAATCCAGTGAGAGGCACCCCAAGTTTCAGTGGGTTCAGAGCCACAGCTTGGAGTTAAACCAGCAGCCTCTGGGCCAGCCTGGATTGGGTTTGAAATGCAGCGCCGCCCCGGGTGGGAAGAAACCTTGCTGCAGTGTGGGCTCCAAACGAGGCGGGGAAGCCCTCTAGTGGCCGGGAGAGATACAGCAACAGCAAGGAGGTACACAATAAAGGACTTTCTAGGCCCGACCCCCCTCTCCTCTTCCCTCACAACCTTCTAGGCACACTTCTCCTCCTCAACAGTCTCTTGCCACACCCTGCGCTGTCTTGCCACACAACCCGCCGCGTTCAGTTGCACAGCTATCTCTGTTTCCTAGATCCCTCCTCCAACATTTCTGGATAACGTACCCTGCACCTCGGGCCAACTTCGTCTTCCCTTCAGGCGTGGCTAATCTTCTGTGGCCTCTAAGAATCTCCCGAGCTTCCAGGTTGTGTGGAGTCACTATCTTGGAACATAGGGGTGTGGGGAGGGGGTGGCCTACTTGAAAGCCACGTCACTGACCAGGGCAGGGAAAGCTGAGCTCACACAGGCTGTCCCAGCAGAACCACCCACGGTCACTGAAGGGAAGCCGAGGTGTCCTAGCACTCATGAACACCAGTGAAACACTGAAAACCGCCAATTCATTAAAGCTGCATTGTGCGGGTTGGAATCCCAGTCCACAGCCTATTAGACATGTAACCAGAAAAGGTTCTGAATTCGTTGCATCGTTACAAGGTTGTCATGGAGACAAAGGAAAGCAAGGCATCTGATTCAGCAGGGCTCACCAGTCGGTGCTCTGTGACTGGCAGCCTTGGCTTCCTGGCCTCTGGCTGGGGACTCACGCCTTCTCTCTGGGCCTTTTGGCGGTTGAGTTGGCCTGAAGTGACCTCTCCTTACTCTCTGACACCCTTTCCTTGCTCGTAATTTCCCTCCCCTTAGGGACTGCCTTAGCAGGACCGTGGCCATCGGTGTCGGGCTGACTTTCATAATGTTATAACTTACAGCATGCCATGAAAATGCACATGTGGCGCTTTCTTGTGCTTGCAATCTTGTTGAAAATTAAACTTATGCACTTGCACGTTATTGGAAGCACTCCTTACATTGTTTGGCCCTTTTCTTCTCTGAATAGCTAGACTGTACATTCCAAATACTCCAGTGTTTCATGTTTTTATCCTATAAGACTTATCGAATACAGGGGCTGGAGAGGTGGCTCAGCGGTTAAGAGCACTGGCTGCTCTTCCAGGGGTGCCAAGTTCATATTCCAAACACCTACGTGGTGATGGGGAACCATCCAAACTTAAATGACATCACCATAGTCTGAGGACCTTCAAATGGGACGGCATCTGGGTCAAAGGTCAAGAGGTGCATTTTTAGGAGTGTGAGTGTGCTGTTACGCAGTATCTTTCAAACTTAGGCTGTACACTAAGTGTAAAATCACTTTCAGTAATTTGAAGCTGATCAACTTTTCCCTCCGCAACAGGAAGCACCTTCTAAATTCACACACACACACACACACACACACACACGAGCACACGTACACACGTGTGTGCACACGCATGCACCAGCAGGTGGCTGTCGAGTTTGACTGGGTACCATTGCTTTGGAAATCTCTAACAGCTCATCTACTGATGCACACAGGCCGCATCCCAAGTCCGCGAGCAGGTCCAACAGAAGGGAGCGCCTGTGTCCATGACCAGATACAGACGAGAGTGTAAGGTTTGCTTTTGTTTTTGAGACAGAGTCTTACTTTGAAGCTCAGAATGTCCTTAAATCCACAGTCCTCCGGCCTCAGCCTGGAACTGTGAGGGCATGGCTACTGTGCCTGACTTACAGCAATGCTAAGAGAGGTTTCATTCATATCCACAAGAGTGGAAATAAACTAACTCCCAAACAATTGTAAAGCATTATAAATACATTATAGAAATAACAAAGAGATAATCTGCAGGATTGAAGAATGAATGTCTCCTATTACACATGAATGGACGAAATGTCTAATATTCAGCTAGGGGAGTATGTATTCAGACAGTATGTATGATTGAGTCTGTTTGAAGCTCAAGAAAAGCAAGAGTTCAGTGACAGAAATCAGAACAGACCTCACCATATGGGGAAACAGCCATCTCTCTCTGAACACAGTGATGCCGGCACCCGTCCTGCAAGACTCTAAGAGAACCCAAGATAACATATATCTAACATCCACTGCCAGTTCTCAACAAAGACTAGAGGCTAAACAATGTACGTTGTATTATATATCATTTTCAATTAGTTTAAGAGTTGTCAAGCAAAAGGATATTTTTGTTGATAGTCTACTCCAAGTTCTAATTGCTTTTGCTGTTGGAAGCCTTCCAATGGCTCTTCTCCTGTAACTAACTCGTGTGTGTGTGTGTGTGTGTGTGTGTGTGTGTGTGTGTGTAAGAGCAACATCTAAGTCAGTAATGGCACTCTCCCACTCTCCTGCTCCTTTCCAGATGTTCCCAGCCCAGTTCCTCCTTGTGGCTAAGGGAGTTTGCGCCCCTGGTTTGTGCCAATGAGACTTGAACTCCGATGGGAAACAGTTGAGAAAAGAACTCTTAGCTTCCAGGCAGTAGCCCACATGGAGGTTCCTGGTGGGTGACATGAGTCAAGGGAGTGAAGAGCCTCGTGCTCTTTCTCCCATGTGGCTTGCCTTCTGCTAATCTTCATCCTTGCCCTGTGTTATATCCATTGTGATAAACAGGAATGAGGGTGTGCTTTTTCTCTGTCATGAGAATGATGGGAGGAGAGGGTCTTATCAATGCATTGGTCCTAGAGTTACCAGTTTCCAGAACTTCAAGAAATAAATATCTGTTGTTTAATCAAAAGAATGTTTCTGCTCTTAAGCAAAAGGACAATCTCTCTCTCCCTCCCTCCCCCTCCTCTTTCTCTCTCTCCCCCCAGATGTCCCATTCTCTGCCTTCTGGGAGACAATCCCTGGAGTCGTGATGATCACCGTTTGACCATGAGAATCAGAGAGAGGACCCAAGGAAGAGGGAGTGTAGGGAGTGTGGAGGGAGACTGGATAATGCTATCTAAATACATATCAAAGTAGCAGATTCTGTTCTGCACATTCACAGTAGCTGGGGGCACCGTTCATGGGTGACTTGAAGAAAGAAATCTGGAAGCGCTGAGCACAGAGTCACGATGACAGAAACACGACAGCTCGGATTCAGTCGGCATGTGTGGCTCATACAGGGATTGGATTATCACCTGTGCGCTGGTTCTTCAACTCCATCTCTCTACTTAAAGTCTGGAAAGCTGGCCATTTGTACTGAGGGCAACTGGGGGACAGATGGGTGGATGATGAAGAATTAAAGATATGCTCGCCAGCTTGAGGATGCTCCTGGAAAGCCTAAGCCTAACGGAGTAGTAGCTGCCCCCACAGGGCCTCGTCCTGGATCCTCCAAGGGCGAACTGCCAGAAGAAAGAGGAGCGTTGACAGAGTTCAGAGAACACCCAAAAGAGACCTGTCAACACCCATGCACACTGGCCTTCCACTTCAGTCTAACTCAGCACTCAGCCTAGTGACATCAGAGAGCTGAGTAATAAAAGTCCTCACCCTGCCTATGGAGACAGGAGGATTAGAAGTTCAAAGTCATCTTCGGCTACATAGAGAGTTGAAGGCCTGCTTGGGTTTCATGAGACCCTGCCTCAAAATAAACATTAATAGAATAGAAAGTAAAAAATAATTGTCACCTTACAAATTTCTCTATTGATAGAATTTTTGCCTAGCACGCATTAAGCTCAGGCCCCAGAACAGTATGGAATGGGCATGCAGAAGCTTGTCTGCAGTCCCAGGACTGGCGAAGCAGAGGCAGGAAGGTCAGAAGTTCAAGATCATCTGCAGCTGTGTAGTGATCAAGGCCGGCCTGGAATACAGGTCATTTGCCTTGAGTGAAAAGAAAAATCTCTGCTCCTTCACCCTTTCCAGGTCCCATGGAGAAGGGAGAGATGGAAAAGGAGAAAGAGGAGGGGGCGGAAAAGAGGCGTGCAAGGCCCTCCTTCCTCTTCAGCTGGAGGCAGTTAGCATACAAGGATGGTCTGAGAAAAGAAAACTCAACAGCAGATAAAGTTCAAGGCTTTATTATTTCCAGGGTGAACTGTTTCATGTTGGTGAGTTAAGAACTGATCATGAGTTACCACAAGGTGACATGTCACCATCCAGGCAGGGTAAGGTGACCTCAGAAAACAGACTCTGGGAGCAGCAGCGGGTCACATTTGTCAAGGCTTGTGTTGTATAAACTGACAGGTGAGTGGAGAGGAGGCTATCATAGGCTAAAGCTGTCATCATTGCGTATTCCCAGCATGCGAATGCTTGCTCTCTAGTTGGTGGCCCTGTTTGGGTAGGTTTAGGAGGTATGGCCTTGCTGCAGGGCGCGTATGAGCGGGCTTTGCAGTTTAGAAACCCCCATGCTATTCCAAGCTTGCTTTGGTTGGTGAGTGAGTGTTTAGCTGTTTCTGCTGCCCTGTCTGGAGATTTTCATTATGCCCACCATCAAGGGGGTGATGGACTCTTATCCCTCGGCAACCATAAGCCTCAAATAACGCCTTCCTTCTGACTTTGCCTTGGTCACGGTGTCTAATCAGTGCCATAGACGAGTATCTAAGACACAGTATGGTTCCATATCATCTTCCGACCTTTCTTTTTTCCCCCACAGGGCTTGTTGACCAGACTCACGTCTCTGTATCTCAGTATGAGTCATTTATTCAATAAATATTTACCAAGTCTGGCAAGTTCAGCTTTCCTAAGCGTTGCCTTAGGAAACCCGATGAATGTTAAACATCACATCTTTGGTCAAGTCATTCCTTTACTCAGGAACATTTGGTGACTCCCCACTATTCCCAGCAGAGAAGAACTGTAGTACTTGGAGCCCTGCTCCTCTCTCTAAGTGGCCTTCCCTCCCCGCAGGGGTCTCCGAGACCACCACAGCCAGCAGAGCGATGATCTGTGGGAGGCAAGAAGGCAGCTAAGTTCATCACAGCTCAGTAGCTTGTGTTCATTCAAACCCCAAGCAGTTAGTTTATTTTAGGCGTATGTAAGCAGAGCACATTTCCTGGTGCTAATTAATTTAACCCTGTGAGCACAATAAAGACATGAATATATCAAAACGCTTTGTAAAGTGTCTGTGAGGCTCTATAGGTTTGACGAGCTCACGATAAGGGTCAGGGTAGGGGGAGATCCGGTGTGGTCTCTCCACAGATAGTGCAACCCTTCCTTTGAAGGAAGAGCCCCGTGTACTTAACATCCCTGGTTCCTGTAGCGCTTATCTGTGTGCGCAGGGACCTCTGTGACCCGGTTTCACCGACGCCCTAGAAGCCGCTGTGATCTATCACAAGACTCAATTTGCCCTCATCAGATCCCTACCCTTTGTCCTCCTAAGTCACTTAGACAGAAAGGAAATAGAATTATATTTCATTTGGATTCCACTTACATTTTCCTTTTCTTTTTTGATTAGGCCTGGAATA